GTTCTAAAGTAATTGAATCAGATAAAAGGAACAGAGGATCTTCAGAGGAAAGAAAACCAAACGATTACGGTATCTCGAGTCACTACTGTAAGTGAATCACAAACAGAATACTAGTGCGATAGAAATAGAGAGAATAGTTCGGCTTGTCAACTGAAATTCTAAAGTAATTGAATAGGCCTAAGTGGACTTTTGACAAGAAAAAGAGAACTACATATATAATGTTTATGATATGCCTATAATATCTATAGTGTGACGAATTTGTGGTACATACGTTTAACTTGTTCTGAATATTTGTATTATTTTGAAAACAAGTGAAGTGTGTGCTGTTTAAGTGTTGTTGAATTTATCGCTAACAAGTTTCAGACACCTACTGTAGAGGAATCCTAAGCCGCAAAACAATACAATATATATTTATACTCTTAAGAACTTTAACTAAAAGCTTTTTTATTCTGACAACTGGCAAAAAGAAGTATATATATATATATTAAGAATTCTGACAAGCATATTAAACGATAAAGATTCGTTACTGAATTATTTTGCTGGTATACCACAACGTTCCACAAGTAGATCTTTACACATGCGATTCTTTTTGAGCCTGAAAAGTTTACTTATCTCTGAATTAATGTGTTCTGACGTTTATCGTAGCATAGTGTCAAAGACAACTGTTTTCCAACCTAAATGATAGTCGATACACATTATAGTCTTCAAAATGATGTGATCATGCTCTGCAACTATGATTTATGACCACGTTTCTTGAAGAGTGTTCTTCAACTTGATTAACAACTTGGTTACTGGGACTGAGTGAAATGTAAAATAAAACAGAAGGCCAAGATCATTGCAATGTATGTAAAGCCACAAAAAGAAATTGGTATATGCAACATTAACATAAAGACTCCATAATCCGAGAGAGACCTTTCTTCTTTAGAAGGAAGATCTAACTGTCACTGAAATTGTATACACAATCTTTAATTATAGGCAGAAGTAAACATACAATTATAGCGAGTCAATTATAAGCAAAGGTAAACATAAGTCTTTTTTATTTTACTATTAGTGTTTAAGAACACGAATAATTATAACAGAAAACAATGTTGCCAAAGAAGATATGATAATTTATTTCGTTTTTGTACTTTAAAGTTCATTATATTACATTAGATAATAGAAACCATAAAGTTATCAGTGCATGACTACAGGCCGATGGTAAGGAGTGTCATACAGTAGAAATGTGTATGACTTATATGAACGGCCCGGCATGCCCAGGTGGTTAGAGAGCTCGACTCGCAATCTGCAGGTCGCGGGTTCGAACCCCCCCGTCCCACCAAACATATTCGCCCTTGCAGCCGTGGGGGCCTTATAACGTCACGGTCAATCCCACTATTTGTTGGTACAAGAGTAGCCCAAGAGTTGTCAGTGGGTGGTGATGACTAGCTGCCTTCCCTCTAATAGTCTTACACTGCTAAATTAGGGACGGCTAGCGCAGATAGCTCTCGTGTAGCTTTGCGCGAAATTCAAAAAACAAACAAACTTATATGAATTTATTTTTTTGCGATTTTGTGATTATGATTTTTGCCCTTATGTCAAGAGCTTTGAAATGCCAATGTTTATATTAGCAAAAATTAAATAAATTTGCACACAATTCAGTTTAATGAAAGTTAGAACAATATTTTAATGCAAAAAAAAATCGTGATTAACCTGCAAATTTCATTTTAAAACTTTTTTATTGAAAACAATTTTTAGCCGTTCGAAAAATTTAAAGATATTGAAAAATAAGATCATTTTGGAAGATTTTTACACAGACTATCATCTTAAGTAAAAGTTGTTTACATATTCGAAACTTCTAACAGTGAATTTTTTACATTATCTTCCATAATGTTACATTTTGTACCACTTATAATGAGTATAAGTTATCTCCAACGTTCTGTCTTTGGAGCTCCAGCCTGTACGTCCTGTTTCTAGAACTCCAACCTGTACATCCTGTTTTCGAAACTTCAACATGTACGCCCTGTCTCTGGAGCTCTAGCCTGCACGCCCTGTCCCTGGGGCTCCAGCCTGTACTTAATTTGTCTGGAGCTCCAACTATTTAACGTTTAACAAGATGCGTTTTTACGACACTCCTAAAGATTTGCTTTGTTTTCAGCAATCCTCTCAGAGTGATGACGTCACATACTAGACAAAGCAGTGTTTCACACTCTCCAATCCAATACGTCAATTTTTATTTAAAAGTATATTTAACATAGTAATTATCAGTATAAACAACGGTGTGTTATTTTGACAAATGATAACCAATAAATGATCTTATTTTCCAGAAAGTGTTCAATGTTACTGTACAAGACTTTTTATTCTGTTTCGTGCTTTCATATTCAGCTGGTGAAGAAATGTTGTAATTAGATACACGAACTGAACGCTAACACTAATAAGAAAACGACCCTCAAATTCTAAACACTCCGTGTTTCTTCGGTTTAGTATTTTGGCACATGCCATGATTACTTTAAAGACGTAAGACTGTATTATTAAATAATTTTTAATTATTGTCTATTAAATCTTAGGTGTTTTGTAATATTCGTGTAAATGTTACCAAGATGTTGTTTAAGTACGGATTTTGTTTTTGTTCACTGACATTCATATATTTGTTTATATTCTTTCAAAGCACTGCCATAAAACACTTTAAACAATACAAAAGAACTATGGATGATATTCGAGCTGACATTAATTACTCTCCTACGTGAGAGTATCTCCAGAGTGTCAGCTGTAAGTTTGCGGACTTACAACGCTAAAATACAGGGTTCGATTTCCCCATGGTGAACAGAGCACAGATAGACAATTGTGTAGCTTTGTGCTAAAACAAACACACACCCTATCTGGGGGATTCCAGAATATTTTTTTTTTTTGAACAAATTTTTTCCCGGATCCTGTCTTGAATATTTCTATTGATTAGATATAAAACTTTAATTCAAATTACTGTTATTGCTAGTTTCAAAACTACACAATGGGTGATCAGCATTCTGTCAATCGCGGGAAATTTAACTCCGAATTTTAACGTTGCAAGTCCGTAAAGTTACTGCCGACCCACAGGGAGGCTATTTAGAATTATCTTACTTTCAAATCTCAGTTTTCACCTGATAATAATCGAAGTTTGATGGTTTTGAACACAAAGTGTAATTGATGACGACCTAAGGAGGTCGAAACGTTGTTATTTGTTTTGTAATTTTCAAATAAAAGTTTTCTATACCCAAATCAGCCGTCTCTACTATATATACATTTACTTCAAGTGGGATCCTCGACATCGTGGATTTAAAAACAACGTTTCACCACTGTTAACGTGGCATTAACAGATACTCAGCACAATTCTATTAGTGTGGTTAGAAAATGCTTAAGAGCTGATGTGTTGACAGAAAAAAAAAGAAAATTCATTCAGGTGTAATTCCTCATGTACCTGGTTTATCAAATAGGACAAAAAAACTGCGGAAAGAAATAGACTACTTCCAATTGTAGGTAAAAAAGTTGAATATAGTCTTTAAAAATGAAATTAAACTATTGAGAAAAACAGTAGTTTGAAGGACTGTAATAATATATAT